GAGAGAGAGAGAGAGAGAGAGAGAGAGAGAGTGTGTGTGTGTGTGTGTGTGGTCTCTCTATCTATCCTGCTACAGATTCAAGTATGTGACAGCTCAACAGACATTTCATCCTATTTGAATCGGCTTCGTAAACCACAAAGCCGGGAATATATTCTGGTATATTCTGGATGATGTGTTTGGGATGAATGCATGAGAGGTAAAGCAACACAGAAACAATACTACCGACCCATGAGGTCACAGGCTGAAGTAGTAGCTTAAGATACATGATGGAATTTACATAACTACAAATCCTAGTACTAGCAGATCGACAGAATAAACACAAAAAGCAAGAACGAAGAGAAGGTTTCTCAACGCACTCGTCGGTCCAGTAATGTTGAGCATAGAGGCTGATTGCTAGAAGAATTGGGCTTGAGCCCGTCGCGGGGCAACGGCAGCAGATTTCCAAAGTTCCGTCGGCGAAAATCGACCTTGAGCCACACCTGCTGCGAACATATAAGACGGCAGGGCTCCTCCTGATCTCCTCAGAGTGGAAAGTCTCTGTTACCATATTCATTTTCTTCCTTCTGATTGTCACTTCATACATCAATCGTGATCATGGAGACCGTCGTTGAGCCTCGCGATCGGTACAATCTCCGCAAAGCACTCACCCTCATGGAAAGGGACATCAAAGCCCTCGGATAGACGGATACCCATACTTTGGACCAAAACGTCCTGAAAAGGTGCAGAGTTCGGGCTCAACATCTGAGCCTTGACGCCACACTAAACCCTATGATTTTACATTCTTGAACGAAGCTGGGTTCAAGACCTTCGCACAATGGCTCCTGGGCAATCCTATTGGTGATACGTCCAGAAACGCGGTGCGGATTTAATCGGCCGATCATGGATGGGAGGTACTTGGGTTCTGGTGTTTTCAGGGTTCGGTAACGTCTTTGCGAGTTCATGGGTCTTTGGATGGTTTCATATGTGTTGGTCCTTTCGTTTCGGTGCTTTGTAGTTTCAATCTCAATAATGAAATCCGCACGACGCGATACCTTCTGGGCGTCGTCCCCCACGTTTCAACCGATGGTTAATCACGAAAACAACTATAGTAACTATTATATACCTCAAGGAGTGGAGTTTATTTTCTTAAACTATCCCTAATTATTAATAACCATCCACCACTACCTATAGCCAGTGTCCACCTGTCCATGATATACTAATGTATGGAGTTCAGTTAAGTCAAAAGGGCAGATTGAAATGCCAAGCACGGGAGACCGATAAACAAATTGATCTCCGCAGTTCTTCAGCCCAGATCTTACAAGTTACACTCCACCTCCTGAATGGACAAGGTCACGGTTTCATGAGCCCCCAAAGACGTCGACCTTTGATCTTTATCTCCAGGCGACGGGCAGCGAGGCTAGCTCTCTCGAAACTATGTCCGCAGCATCGATACCCCCACGGTATGCCTGTGCGTCGGTATCTTACTTATCACCGTACTCACCATAAATGCTAGGTCATTAGTCGCTTGTACGCGCTGCAGGAAGCTGAAGTGAGGATCCCATATACAGGGGCCATTTGGTAGCTTTCTCACAACCACGCAGAGTTCGGTGTACCGGTTTTAATGATGGGTCTTGTATGAGGTAAACCTGCGTGGACAATGGACCTGGGTTAGGTTGATCTCTAAACGAAGGCAGATGCAAATCCAGTCGCTCGGACTGTAAATTCGTTCCTTCTAAGCCGAGTCCCCGAGCCGCCACTGGAATGGTAGAAGCCGCATCCAGCAAGTGAGTACCCATATCTATCATACTTTACAGGATGCTTACACTTCGAATAGCACACGACAATATGATCGCACAGCAGCGCTGGAAGAGCGAATTAGAGAACTGGAGGATGCGGTAAGCTCCTCGTTCCAGTCGTTCCGAGGGGCTCTGCAGCAGATATCTAGTCATGTTGGTCTGCAAGATGTGACTGGAACATTAGTTGGGTTTGCTACACGGTCGGCCGAGGATCATATCCGTCCTGATATTCAAGCTGAATCAACCCCTGAACTATTCGAACCAGGGTATGAAAGAAAGGATCTCATTGACAAGGGAGTTTTGACATTGGAAGACTGTCGAATGCTCTTCGATTTGTATGTGCTCATACCCGTGTATACCACAACCCTATTCCTGACTGACTGCGATATTCTATAGCTACGGTGCCAACTGCAGTGAAATCATTGCCTTTTTCGATAACACAATGGCTTCATTCGAGGAAACCCGGAGATATCCGCTGCTCTTGGCGGCCATGTGTACGATCGGTGCCCGTGCATCTGCACCTCGGCTGTATCGCCCATGTCTAAATGAAACCTACTCGTTGATTCAGCAAACATTACTTGGACCTGTCCCTTCTCTTGAGACACTAAAGGGTATATTGTTAATGGCTGTGTGGCACAAGAATTACCGGTTATTGGGACTGGTGCTATCAATTGCCTACCAAATTCAACTTCCCGAGACGGCGTTGAGTCTAGCAGACAATACTAGTGATCACGATGAAGACTCTATTGACAGAGCAAGGACATGGTTGTCCTTCTGCTGCGTTGACCTTGTGTACTCTATCCTACCCTTTTCTCCCGTTCACCTGTAGCGAAGCTGACAGCTTGGACTCCAGGCACAATACCAGCAAAACGTACTTTGTCAGTGAGAGCGATCGCTACACCAGATTAGGAAGCCATTTGACATCGATGCCGTATCGGCGTAACGTGGACTATCGCATACGGGCATATTTGGAGATATACGGCATCCTCAGTATGTAATCTTGAGTTTACCCTGGAGGTTACTAACATATGAACTCGTCATTTAATCGATTGTACCAGATCAGGCAAAAAAGGACGCGGTAATCTCAGACAATATGCAGCGGCAGCCAATTACGTCAGGTGTCTGCAGGCAGCTCCAGCTCTATGACAAACAGCTGCAAGGATGGTTTCGACGAAATGATGAAGAAATGGATCCCATTTACCAGACATTCTCCAAGCCCCAGGACCGCAATCGAATGGCGATTCCTTACAATTTTGCCCGAATGTAAGTGAGCAACACAACTTATGATTACAGAATGATGATATACTGAGCAACAGTACAGGCACCTGAATGGACTTGTCCTCCACGGTCTGAAGCCAGATAGTGCTAGCAACGACCCGCTTCGAGTCCAATTCATACGAGCAGCTGTCGATGCCGGGAAAGCGTTGCTTAAATGCGCCCTACGTTCAATTGACTACCAGGCCAACTTGAACTATTCGATCGTATGTAGTTCCCAGAGTACTTACTACATAACGCATACTCAATTGAACAGGACTACTCCGGCTCAGCCCTAGGCCTGGCAATCAACTTCCTATCTCGTGCCACCTGCGTTGCATATGACTGTATCGACCTTGAAGGGGTCATGCGTATACTTGCGCAAGCAAGGGATATGTTTGAAGGTGCCAAGCTAGCTGGAAAGGCAGACGAAGTCAGTCACATCCTCGATCAAGTGGCTGAGATAAAGCGCACTATGACGGCCACCAAACCGAGAAACGATACAACCGAGGCGGATATTAACGATAATGTCGATGATGGGTCTGATTTCTTTCTCAATGCTGTGAGTAGCACTACGTGCGGCTGCTAGTGTTCTGGCGCTAACCTGGTCTAAAATTAAATAGAGACTCCCTTTGTCGGAGTTCTCTCTGGACGAGCCGTCGATTGAAGATATACTTATGTATTCTGGAGAGTAAAATGCTGCGATAGCAAAATGTAGGTTTGTTATGTGTGGCATATATTCTGTAAAATGGAGGAGGATTCCCAAGGGCCTGAATACAAGGCTGAATGAACTGAAACATAAACCGACCACATTTAAATGATGTGAGCACCAGGAAGGTGCAGTTGACCCTAAACAGATGTTGAAAATTGAGTTCTACTCGTGTAAATATAACGATAGGACGATGGATAGCTTAGTAGATTCCCGTACATGTCGCCTATGATTGCTGACTCTGGACATCATCAATAGTTCAGGAGCGGGCCTCTTGAATCTCGTTCTCGGGTGAGCCGTGTGCAAGGGTTCCTCTACGGATGATTTGCCTTTTATCGGAAAGCCTGCGGGTAGACAGAATAAGAAGAAGTGGCAAAGATGTGCATAGGCATTACTTAGTTGGAGCTCGGGATAGTCAAGAGATATGCCGTCCGTCCCATTGGTGGGCGAAGCGGTATGCCGAACATCGCTCGGTATAAATAATCCTGAAAGGTAAAAAGTTAATTCAAAGGGTATGTGGAGAATAGAAGTCTCTCTCGACGCATAATATAAACAGACTTAACCGTAACTAGACCATTGAAATAAGCTTGGATCACTCTCGAAAAGGACCTCTCGGTTAGCCTCGGGCGTTGCTCCGACTGCCGCTCCGGTTTGTCTCCGAACTACATTTACATTAGAAAACAGAAAGAGAGTGTAAGAGAAAAGGGTACTTTAGGAAAAGTAGAAAATAAAAGTAAAAGCAGAATTAGCACCGTGCATAGCCTCTCGTAATTCTTCAGGGTCTTCATTTGCTTGAGACTCCCTGTTTATCTAGTCTTTTATCTAGAGATACAACAGATCATCAGAGTTCCGATTGCAAAGGCAGACCAAAATCGTCCAGACAACATAAATGCTATTGTTCAGTCTATCGGGGCACTATACGCAGCAGATGTATGTTATTGCGAAAGCCCGTGCATGGGTGAAAGAAAGAAGCTGTGAATCCTTGCCTTGAGTTCTATTGCGTCCAGTCTGCATTCAGCAAAACTTTGGCACAAACTACATACGATGGCACTACAATCAAGACTACGCCACACTCTCGACCTGCTCA